CCTCTTCCTCCCCCACCTCAGCGTGGGAACGGGAGGACACCTTGTCCAGAGCAGCGCTCAGCGACTTCCCCTGTGCTCTCTCTAGGAACGGCTACAAGTTCCTCTACTGCTCAGCCAGAGCCATCGGCATGGCGCACATCACCAAGGGTTACCTCAAATGGGTCAACGATCAAGGCTGTGTCCTCCCCAAGGGTCCCATCCTGCTCGCCCCCAGCAGCCTCTTCTCTGCCTTCCACAGGTACTATGTCCTCTCCTCCTCCCCAGCCCTGCACCTCCTGCGTCCCTGGGGATGGCACCCCCCTCCCCCAGCTCGATGCTGAGGGATGTCGCAGCCTTAAACTGCTTCTGGCCTCCTTGGTGCAGGATGCCTCTCACAGGACACAGCAGGGGAACTGCCTGCCCTTCCCAGAGCTTCGTGGTGAAGCTCCTGCAATGCACAAAACCTCTTTTCAAAGCACTCTGTGCCCCGTGCAGCCTGGCTGCCCGCGGTCCTGACCCACTGACGCCGCTCTGACCTCTGCTCTGTGCGTGCATCTTGTGCTGCAGGGAGGTGATCGAGAAGAAGCCAGAGGTGTTCAAGATTGCCTGCTTGATGGACATCCAAAACTTGTTTGCCACGAAGCTGCCCTTCTACGCAGCCTTTGGGAACCGAGCAAATGTGAGTGGGTCTCCTGGGGCGGAGGGAGGGCTCAGGCGGTAGCCATGCCTTCCTGCAGCTCTCACGCCCTGCTGGCCTTCCCTGGGCAGGATGTCTATGCTTACAAGCAAGTGGGCCTGCCAGAGAGCCGTATATTCACAGTCAACCCCAAAGGAGAGCTGATCCAGGAGCTCACAAAGAACCACAAGTCAACGTAAGCAACCTGCTTGTTTCTCAGTACCTTCAGGTTGACCTGGGTTTAACCAGAGCAGCATCTTGTGGGGTAGAAATACAAACAAAGCCCCAATGACTTAGTGTCAGCTTATTGCTGCAAAAATCTATCTTACCACCATAGATATGAGCGGCTGTCGGAGCTGGTGGAGCTGATCTTCCCTCCCCTGGGGCAGAGTGGGAGCATCGCTCTGGTGTGTCCAGAGTACAGCCACTTTGCCTTCTGGAGACCTTCACTGCCTGCTGTTGACTTGGAGGCCTTCTCCTGACCACGTTACCTGGAGAGCCCTGGGTCAGATCTCCACTGTGCATCCTCTGCCAGCACTGGATGCTCCGGATACATCTCCTCCTCCCTGTTTGCTGCTCGGGCATTTTGCACTTCTAATATGGGTTATGTTCTGCATTAGGAACAGCCAAAGGGGAGCAAGAGAGAGCTCTGACTCTACACAAGCTCCACTTACTGAATGGAAATTCCTATAAGCTGGCTTTTCTTAATATTCTTAATACCTTTAAAGCCTGGCTCTTCTTTAAAGGTGGTGGTGGGTCACTCTTATTTATTGATGAGCTGCTGGCATAGCTATTTCTACCTCCAGTATGACCAGTGTTCCCAGACAGTGCAGCTACCTGCAGTTTGGTAGGTGATGGAGTGAAGCTGTCCCGTGGCTTAACAATTCGTTAAGGTGAATAGTGGAAGCTGTTGGCATTTCGAGTTTTCTTCACTAATATTCATTAATAACAATAATTAATAAACAGTACCTTAATCTAGGCTGCCTCTTGTCCACTGTGCATGGAAGTGGGAGCCAGGCTCCATGTCCTCTTACAAACGTGGCTGGGTTTAACCCTGCTGAAGTGCCCTGCCCAGGGGCTCCAGCCTTGCAGCCAGCACCTGCACTAGAAAAGGACTTTTTTTTTTTCTCTACTACCTTCAGATAATGTTGCAAAATTGATTTGGTGTTACGTGTGTGCACAGGGGTGAATTTCTCTTGTGCTCGTAGCCTGCCATAAGCTTGTGCCAGGAGCTTATTCCTGTGCCCCGTACGGGAGCGTTTGAGTCCAGCTCAGCTGCCCTAACACAGGGTTGGGCTGGGACGTGACCAGCCCGTCCCCACGCTGCCTCTGACACCTGGGTGCCAGCACCGCTGTGCGTTCAGCCGGCCTGGTGTCCCTGGGCTGGGGCTGTACCTGTAACTACATAAAATAAAACAGGCAGGAGCACTGCTGGGTTCTTTTCTCCAGTCTGGCATCCACCTTCTCCTTCCCTGACCACTGTGTGTGAGCAAATCATCTCCTTCAAGGCTGCCTGCCTCCCTGCTTGAGCTCCAGGTCTGCTTTTTTCTGAAAGTCACATAAGTCATTTTGATCCTGGTAAACCTCAGCAAGAAATACTTTATTTTTTTTTTTCCTTTCCAGTACAAACACTTTTTCAGCTTTTTAAAATCTGAACAAATGTACAAAGTTTTAAAAACAATGAAACAGCCTTTTAACAAGATCAGTTATCAACTGCCTTGAAACAATGTCTGTGCAAGAACAACTGCACAGGCATCATCTCCTTCCCTCTCTGCAAGCAATAAAAAAATTAAAAAATGCCCTATTTTGTACAAAGTTCCTTTCACTTTTTAAACATGAATAGTTGAGAACTGAAATATAACCTGTCCATAGCTTCAAGTGACTGGTCAGGAATAGTCCAAACATAGCACCATTTTCTGGAAGGACAGACTTCTTCCTTGTCCTAATTTTATTATGGCCAGTCCTGGCCCCCTCTGTGCTGGAGGAAGCTGTTGCTGGTCAGCTGCTCTCTAGCCCAGCCCTGGGAAGGGGTCAGCCTGGCCCTTGGTTTAGTTTTCTCTTTGGTTGCTGCAGCCCTTTTTCTCCCTGTTGTGAGAAGGCGAGGAGGGGGCTCAGGCAGGATGCTCCTGCGTGGCGAGGGCTCCCCTGGCCCACCACAAAGTGCCCAGGGCTGGCTTGAGACTCCTTCCGTGGGCTGGGGTGGGGGGGGTAAAGGTTTTGTTGTCTAAGAGCAGGTTTTGCAGGATGCCCAAAGGCAGCTGGAGGTTGCTCCTCTGCTGGAGAAGCGTCTCAGCAGCTGCGGCGTACCTCCAAATTGGCAAAGCTCAGAGCAGCGAGAGCGGATTCTGGTGCTGTGAGCACCCGGCAGCCTGCAAGCTGGCAGGGCTACGTGGGCGGTGGGAGGCCGGGTCCCCTCTCCCTGCTCGTACAGCTGATGGTCCCCGCGCCTCTGGCAGGGGAAAGAGCTTTTACAGCGTCAGGGTAACGCGACGCAGCCAACTGGACTCGGTGATCTCTGTGGTCCTCCCCAGCCTGGAAGCATCTGTTTCAGGGAGCTCGTCCAATTTTTACGTGAGGAAATGGAGGAGAAAAGGCACCCAGATGCATCTCTGCTGGGAGTTGCTGCTGCTTTGTGCTGGTGAGAGCACGGAGCTGCTCCTTTGTGAGGCGGAGGGGAGCAGGGGGGGAACTGTGGTGCAGAAGAGCAGGGATGATGTGGTGAGGGTGATGGGTGTGAGGTGGGAGCTGAAGGCTAGCTGGTGTGGAAGGGTCCATGAGCTGCAATGCTGACCTGACAGAAAAAAATGTTCCTCTGCTATAAAGTGCCAGAGCTGTTAAAAGGGAGGCTCTCTAATTTTCTCTTCATCCTTTCTGGTAATGAAGTCCTTGTTGGCTGAGCAGCAGAGGACACCCACGCTGGGCTCCCTGGGAGAGGCAGGTTTTGTGTGCAACAGCCGCACGGTCCAGGTGCCTGCTCCATAGGGCAAGGCTGGAGTTGCTGAGGAACATGTACAACCTTCTCCAACCTGCGTGTTTGGGGGAAACCAGAGTCAAGTTGGGTAAATAATTTTTTCATTCCCAGGCTGAGCTGAGGAGAGGTCTCGAGAGATCTTCTCAAAGGTTCTTTGCCTCCCCCTCCCCAATGCTCCATGTTGGTGCAGGTCCTCGGGGCTGTTGGCATCCCAGCAGGCTCAGCGGAACGTTGAGGAAGACGCAGGCTCCTGCTCCTGCACTGCCGGACAGGGAAAGCTTCATGCTCACACCCTGGAGTAGCTGCAGCTCCTGCCCCGGGATGAGATGAGGGAAACCACATTCACAGTTTAAGCAATAAAACAGGCGAGAACTAGAGCTGGGGGACAGGACTGCTCCATGCCCATCTTGGTCTCTGCAGAGACCTACAGACACAAGTCTCTGGGGAAGACACAAGTTCTCCATAACCCTTTGTGTCGGTCCCAGGTGTGACCAGGGAGCACAGTGAAGTGGGATTGCAAAGCACGGCAGCCCCGAGAGACCGCGGGGCTCTCCCCCAAATGCTGCTGCGGTGGTTTTTAGCTGCTCAGTGTGGTTCTTCGAAATATGGCAAGGGACGTGGGAGCAGCAAAAGGGAACTTTGCAATCAGATGAGCACCATGACAGTGGATTGTTCAAAAATATACATACACATACCATATGCATACGTGTGTTTTCCTAATGCATATGCTCAGTAAGGCATGTGCGTTTGCATGAAGGAGTGAGCAGTATAAATGGATTTACCGTACGCAAGGAGGGCTGCCATCTCGGAGAGGGGAAGGCAGTTCCCAGGGGGATGTGTGAATACGTGTGTTCTTTGAAATCCGCAATTCCTGTGGTGAGTTTTGTTCCCTGTAAGGAGCCCTGGCTTTGCTCAGTCCCTGGATTAAGATGCAGGTGGTCTTTAGGTCAGAGAAACTCTATTCCTCAACTGACAACTACAGGGTTTTATTCTTCAAGAAGTGATAAATCCACAAAAATAAAATAATAAAAAAACCCCACATTCCCACCTCCAGCTTCCTCCTGAATTGGCCTTCTGGGGTCATCAGCCCAGGAGCCAAAGCAACGCCCCCAGCCCGGAGGCAGGGACACTGCTGCACCAGGGTTGGGACAGCTGCTGAGCATCGGGAGGCGAGTACCCCACGGCAGAGTTACGGAAAAGTGGGGCCAGTAAGATTTTTTTTTTTTTAAAAAAAGGATTTGTAGCAGCTTTTAATTTATCTTTTCATTAAAAAAGTTATCCCAAGAACTGTTGTCACATTGGAGCGAGTCTGTGTGATATAAGTTAATCCTGCCCTTCACGGGGAGGAGAAGGAAGCAGCACGTGGCAGCGTGGCTAATGCTGCTTCCCCTCCGCCTGCTCTTCCAAGTGGCCGACCTGCTCTGCCAGCTCGGAGATCTTGGCTTGGCAGTCCAGCAGGTTGTCCTTCAGTCCCGTTATTTCCTGAGAGTGGGCAGCCAGGGTCCCATTCATGTGGTCCATGTAGTCCCACAGACTGCCCGTGTGTTTCTCCAGTTCATCCCTGATGCCGTCCAGGCTGCCCGTGACGGCACCCAGCCTGCCACAGACGCTCTCCACCCGGGCCACCCGGTCATCAAAGTGAGCGATCTCCTGCTGCAGGTCATGGGCCACATTCTTGCAGGAGCTCAGGTCGCTGACAATCCTGGCTTTGAGTCGCTCCAAGTCTCCTTTGAGGTTCAGGACACGCCGGTTGCTGAAGAAGAGCTGGGAGCCTTGGTCGTTGACTTTCTCCTGGATGGAGTGGACCTCATCCTCGATCTTCCGCTCGTGCTCATCCAGCGAGGAGTTGACATGTGTCACGGTGTCTGAGTACTGGGAGACAGAATCCTTGAGCCCTGTCAGAGACTTGCTCACAGTGTTCAGGTTGATCTTTAGCAAGGTGATCTCCCCTTGCAAAGCCCCCGATGCTTCCTCCTCGATTCGCCGCTGGATCTCCAGGATGGTGGCGTTCAGCTTGCGCAGGAGGTCGTAGTTGCTGTCCATCCGGAGGAGCAGGTCCTGGTTCTTGTTCTGGCAGTCTTCGATCTCTGTCCGGAAGGTCTCCACATCTCTGGAGGCAGAGGTGCAGCCCAGGGAACAAGTGCTCTCCAGAGTGATGAGGCGATTCTGCAACACCTCCAGTGTCTCGTCCGTGCGTTTCCTCATGCTGGCGAGCTCCCCTTCCAGCACAGGCACCACCGCTCCATCCATTCCCACGGGAGAACTGGCATTGTTCAACTCCCCCACGATGGTCATGAACCTGTCCTCCAAAGTCTGCATTTTGTCTTCAAAGGCAGTCCTCATGCCATCCACCTCTGCTACCACCATGCCTCTCATGCTGTCCCCAATACTGGAGCAGCAGCTCCCTGTTTCTCTCTCTGTAGCATTGAGTCTGGCTTCCAGGTCTTCAAAGCGCCCTTCAAAAAGGTTCCCGAGGGTGACAGTGGAGATTTCCCCATCCAGCCGTGAGTGCAAGTTCTTCTGGGACTCGGAGATGCTGTGAAGACCTTTCTCAAGGATGTTCATGCGATCGGTGAGGTAGTCCAGGTTGCTGCAGCAGCTTTCCACCACTGTCAGCCCTTGGATTTGGGTCTCCAGCTGGGAGATCTCTTTCTTGATCTCTAGCTCCTTCCCATCCAGCGTCTGCTGCAGCCGCAGGTTGGCAGCTTTCTCCTCCTCGCACTGCTGCTGCACCTCTTGAATCCGGAAATCGCACGTGGTCTGGATCTTCCCTAGCTTCTTCTCGAAGCCGTCGAGCAGCTCTCCGCGCAGGTTGCTCAGCCGTGTGTCCACGTACTCCTCCAGCAGGTCGATGGAGGTAAGGGGCGAGGGCCGGGCTGACTCCAGAAGGTGCTTGATCTGCCCATCATGGTCCAGGACCATGCCGCGAACCTCGTGCAGCAAATCTGCCTTGGTTTTCAGCACGTCGCTCACCTCCGTCACTTTGGTCAGGATCTCCCCCATGGGAGGGTAGGTCGTGATGTCGGCTTTGTCCGCCACATCCACCAAACCATCAGGAATGATGCCGAAGCCCACTGTCGAGTCAGGCGTGCCCGGGCTGTTCATCAGGGAGCCGATCATCTTGGTGGTGTCCTCCTGGATGGCCAGCCGCAGGCGGTCCCCCAGGCCGCTCACCATGGTGTGCAGGCTGTCGTAGGACTGGGAAAGGCGCCTCACCTCCTCCTCCAGCCGATCCAGGCGGTCCCCAAACAGGCCGGGTAGCTTCCTGC